ATCTTAAAAAAACTATTTAACTCATTTTTAAGCATATCTCAAATTTCTTATTTCAACTGTAAATATTTCAGAATGTATTTCAAAAAGATACAGGCTCTTAAAAAAAAAAACAAAACCATGTCACTATATCTTACAAATTTAAAGAGTCCCTTAATATGATATTTCTAAAAATGGCTTAAAAATTACCCAAATAGTCTCAAAAACTGTTTTTATAGTGATTTGTTTGCATCAGGGTTAAAACAAGTCCACACATTGCATTTGGTTGATATATTTCTTAAGTAACTTTCTAATGGTTCTCTCTCCCCTGTATTTTATTTTACAATCTGTTGAAAAAATTGGATCATTTATCCTGGATTTTCACAGTCTAGATTTTGCTGACTGTATCCCATGGTGCCATTTAACATGTTCCTCTGTTCCCTGTAGATCCCTAAAAAGCTGTATGTAGTCAGTTCCAAAGGCTTTATGTGCCGTTAGATAACAATACTTTATAGTTAGTGGTGTATATTTCAATCAGAAGGCACACAAGAGTCAGGTCTTTTTTTTCCTTTTAATTCATCCCCAATTTTGACAATCATCTTTTATGACTAAAAGAAATTCAGACCAGAGCCACAGATTTTCCCAGGATACATTGCTATTCAACTACTACCATCTGGTGGTGATTGACAGTAACTACAGGCCACCATAGGTGACAGCAAAACTGAACATTGGCTTTCAGAAAGGGTTTGTGTCTTGAGTCTCACCAAGTCATCACCTTACACAAGTTATTTAACTTTTTCTTGTCACTTTTTAAATTGATATAAAATTCACATAAGGTAAAATTCACATATTTTAAAATGTATAATTCAGTGGTTTTTAGTATATTATAATGTTGTGAAACCATCGGCATAATCTAATTCCAGAATATTGCATCATCTCAACAAAAAATTCTATACCTGTTAAGTCAATCCCCATTCCCCGCTTTTCAGCCCCAGCAATCATTAACGTACTTTGTTTCTATGGATTTGCCTATTCTGGACATTTCATGTAAATATAAATCATATATTATATGGCCTTTTGCATCTGTCTTCTTCCATACAGCATAATGTTTCCAAGGTTCATTCATGTTGTAGCATGCTAGTACTTAATTCCTTTTTATGGATTAATAATATTTCATTGTATAAAATATTCCATTTTATTTGTCCATTCATCAGCTGATGGACATTTAGATCTACCCTACTCCAAAGACTGTGTCTTTTTCACTGCTTTACCCTTAATGCCTAGAATATAAAAGATAATCAAATTTTTATTGAGTAAATGATTTATTCATCCTCTATAGACAGAATATTCTCTTATCATTCTTATGATTCTGCTACATAAGTTTTTCTTTTCTCCAGATTAAATAATGTATTTAAACTGTTCACAAATTTTCTCTTTTCTAATCTTCACTATTGTTTTCTAGATTTTTCTCCAAGACTTCCAAAATTCTATCTAAAACAGGGGTCCCCAACCCCAGGACCACGTGGACCGGTACTAGTCCATGGCCTGTTAGGAACTGGGCCACACAGCAGAAGGTGAGCAGCGAGCAAACAAGCAAAACTTCATCTGTATTTGCAGCCACTCCCCAGTGCTAGCTAGCATCAATCACCGCCTCAGCTCCACCTCAGATCATCAGGCATTAGATTCTCATAGGAGCACCAGTCCCTGGTGCCAAAAAGGTTGGACCACTAAAAAAACAAGTGGGGGAGTGGGTTCCTCTACTTTGTCAAAGAATGTCTGCTAATAGACATAGAATGGACACAAATTATAAAACACCATACACAATCACCAATATAATAATTGATTCAGCCAAGGATCATCAATAGATGCTCAAATCATTAGGGAAAATACTGTAGAACAATTATTTGCATAGTCACAAAGTATCAGCACCAAAAATTACTAATTAATTATAAAGGGAGAAAGATACAATTATATAGAGAAATCGGATAGAGTCCCACTTTAGCTAAGAAATCAAACCTAGTATCACCAATAATGGGGCAAACTGATCATGTATGTCTCCTGACGTGTTCACCAAGGATGACTTTAATATCGCCTATGTGTATTTTTACCAAGAAAATTTTAAACTGAATCTAATCATGCAGAAACAATCAAACAAATTAAAATTGTAGGACAATCTACCAAACAACTGGGTTGAAGTCTTCAAAAATGTTGACAACATGGAAGACAAAAAAATAGGCAGAGGAACTATTCTATATTACAAGAGGCTACAGTCATGGGACAATTAACTGGGCAATGTGATGTTTGACTGGATCCTGGATTGACAGATAAAATGGCACAACTATACAAGACAGTTCCAAACAATTGGATAAATATGAATATGGCCTGTATATTAGACAATATTACTGTTTTAACAATGTTAAATGTCTTTAATGGTATTGTGATTATGTAGGAGAATGATTTTTCTCAAGAGATAAACATACTGAGGTAGAAGTAAAGTACTACAATATTTAACAACTTATTCTCATTTGGTTCAACAAAAAGCAGTTTTAGAGATTAAACAAATGTGGCCAAATATTAACGACTAATCAATCTAGGTAAAGGATATATGGTTATTTATTGTACAATTTTTGTAATTTCTCTATAAGTTTTTAATGTTTAAATAAAAAAAAAAACTAGGGAAAAAGACAGTGATAAGAGTATATACGTTGATATGCAAAATAAAGCTCACTGCAACAATATTTAACTAAACATCAACCAATAGAGGAATGGATACATTATGATGCGTTCATAGAATACTACACAGAAGTTACAATAAAAAACCAGATCTATTAAGATGAGTAGATCTTGAAAACTGTATTGGGTACAAATAAAATAAGTGGCTTGTCTGATGACAGTGTGACACCATGTATATTCACTTTTTAAAATCTCACAAAAGGAATACTATAGAATGGTTATGGATGAATTACACATATAGTAAAGGTATTCTTGAGCAGAAGGGTGTAGACCAAACCAAAGGATGTTAATTTCCACTAGAAAGGGAAAGACAGAAGAAAAAAAGATTGAGAAGAAGATAAAGGGAGGAGAAAAAAAATGAAACATACTGGGTAAAATGTTATCACTTGTTACTTGGATTCATGGATACATTGGTGTTTATTATATTACTCTATAACCTTTTCAACATAGTTTTTATGATAAACAGATGAATTTTCCACCTTTTATATCAATCATAATTAATCAAGTATTTAATTAATTACAAGTGATATGTGTTAAATTGATAAACCTGTATAAAGAATAGTATAAAGGTTCCTAATATATATATAAATCAATTAACCAGATAACACAATAATCAATGACAGGGCAGGGCTCTGGAGCCACAAGGTAATAGCTGAGGCATAGGACTCTATGTCTCCACAATGAAAACTAAGATGAAGAAAAAGCCAAGCTGAGAATTCAAAAACACTATAGTAGTAACGAAAGGAGATAGTATCTAATATTTGAGTCTGGGGTAACTAAAACAGATTGAATTTTTCTAAGTGCTACCACTGATCATGAAAAGGAAACAAGACACTAAACCAACAATATACTTTAATATATATGAAGTTACATGATACTGAATAGAGGCATGAAAAAATCCTCATCCAAAGCCCTGGGATGAGGTAGAATTTAGATAAGAGACAGGAAATGGCCTTCTTATTGACCTGCAAAGACAAAATACAAACAGAAAGGGAAAAAAGAGCACCCATAATGCAAACACTCAGAAATCCTGTCATTTGTGATAATTCTATAAAAATTCTATCACCTTATTTACTTCTGTATTTTATTAAACATCTATTGAACTGACATCTAATAAATATCTATTAGTTTTAATAAGTGTCTACAGAACAAAGATGTATAATATTTCTGAAAGGTTCCACTTATAAGTCTCAGAGAATTCTCAGATTACACCATGCCCTCCCTTTAACGAATATGACAAAGGAACACGAACAACTTAAAAAGGGGAATAAAAAACAAATTGTTAATTGCCATGCCAATGACAATTCTTTCCCCAAAACATTCTCTTGAAGAATGAGCCTAATACAAACATCTATAAATGTGGCACAGATCTCTTCAGCCTGCAGAGACTCTCCTGAATTTGTTAAGTTATACCAATATAAGCAGACATATTTTAAATTGAAAATTTGTCATTTTCACAGTCCTACCTTCAGTTTTCTGCTGTAAAACTGTCATCAAATGTTCTATGGCTTCATCCACATGCAGCCCATGGAGGTCTAAAACATTTTGTGGCAGCAGGGAGGCATTGACTTTCTCAAAGATCTCCATGGCAGCAAGGTGATTGGCTTCTTTCATCTTCTGCTCATGGAGACTACCCTTTAATTATAAACATATCACCAGTAAACATTTGTGATATTTGCTACTTAGTAGGCAATGAGGAACAAATAGTGCCCCAAGTAAAAGGTAGAATAAAATCTAAAAATTTTTTAAATGCAATGGGCTAATATGCAAGAATGCACCAAAATTTAGGTAAATTTTGGTGGATTAGTAATATAGTTCTCTTACTACTAGATCATCATTTCTAACATATTTTCTGATCCAAAAATCATTAAAAAAAAAAGGGGGAAACTTAAATAAACAAAACATCTCAAGAAAGAATCCACTGGTTTATCCTTTGATAATTTCTGAGTCTCATCCCTTTCAAGACCTTGTAATTACCCTGAAGTCATCCTTCAAGGTTTGCTATTAGGGCTCACAGGGTTATACCAGCTTGATACCTTTCTCTGCTCAATCACAAAAAAGTAAGCCACATGGAATCACAAAAATAAAAAGTAAATAAGGCAGGTTTCTTGCAATACCATGCCAAATGAGCCTCAGTAGAAACTTTATTTCCCTGAAAGATACTAATGTAACTTTTTCTGATTGTAAAAATGATATATTATTAAAAATTCAAACATGATATAGAACACAAGGCCCCTGTAATTCCACCCTAAAATGGCCAATATTAACATTCTACTGTCTTTCCTCCAGAAAACTTGTTATCTTTTTAGAAGTGGTATTGAATGAGAATCTAACCTAAAAAAAGTATGAACTGTGAGAATAAACTACAATTCATGTAAGCCATAAATGCAAAAGCAGCTACAGGAATTGAGCATTTCAAAGGAAAGGAAATTCTCAGAATCATACATTTCTTACATATTAGGATACCTTATATCACTTACATAATCTACATTCATTCCCCAGATTAACTTAATATAGTCACAATATGAATATTATCTGCTTCAAGATTATTCAGACATCATAAGAGACAAAGAAAAAACAATAATCAGTTTTCCTCTTTACCTGCTGGGCATAAAACGTGGCAACGTTTTTTTTTCCCATTCGATAAGCTTCTTTTGCCTTACTATAGCATTCCATCCTCTTCTGTTGGTGCAGAAAAGCCTCTGCCCTGTAGTCATCATATTTGGGGTACTCAAAATCCTGGAAGGATGGTTCACTTGATACATCATCAGTCTCTCTTGATTTCTTTGCCTAAGATGTTACACAATAAGTAAAATACAAAGAAAGTAGAAAACACAGGCTTCAGAAAATATACATAAAAACTAGGCTCTATTTTTCATCTTTCTTCTCAGAAAACAGAATTTCTCCAGTGTCTACCTAATTAAGTCATGCACTTAGACACTATGGACTTTTTCATGCCATTAAGGGTGTCCCCTTCTTTTACCATTTTTATCTTAGAAGATGTTAAAAAGTTCTCTAAAATTATCAAACTGTAATTAGGTTACAAAATCAAGTAAAAAAAAGAGACTATAAGATATTCAAAGAACTCTTTTATCTAATGCAAAATTTTTCAAATTTTAGTTTGTAAATCCATTCAAAGGGTCCAGTCACTGGAAGTAGTAATGGCGTATTTTAATTTGTATTTTTTAAAAAATCAATAAGATAAATAATATTCTTTTAAAAACAGAAAGGCATGTGGAACAACTATGCCTAGTATGTAGTAAAAATCATAAGTGGGTAAATGGGGCAGTTTTCAGTCAGCTAACCATAAACTACTATGGTAGTGTTGACTTTTTGAGATTTTTGAAAAATCATCTATCAAGTAATTGTTATCCAGAATAGACTCTAAAGTTAAAGAAGCAAAAGTAACTCTAATTTAAAACACTAGGTAATAGAAATAATAATTATTTTGTAAGTTTGCCTCACTGCTCTCCACCAAATAGAAAATTCTATATAGTATCCAGATGCCTCTAAAATATCAAAAGTCAATATTAAAAAAAACAGCAAAATAGAGTGACTTGTATATCCAATTTGGCTTTTCATTTACCCCACTCTCCAAAGTGTTATTTGCAAAAAATACTCACAAGTAGCAATTTGATATTTCTTAGCATGTCACTGGGGGGAGAGGAGGATTAAAAGTTTAAAAGAATTCCAAGTATCAGGTACCCTACCCAGTAATTTAGTAAACATTTTATTAACACTCAAGCCCCCAAATCCTCCCCAAAATGTAATTTTAAATTTCTTTAAAAAATCATGCTTTTCTGATATTAACTGAAAGTAAATTAAATAGTGTAGGTTATTTGTTAAAACTAAAAATTTCTAAAAACTGAAAATTGTCATTAAATTAGAAATATTATTAAGGATTGTACTCTATTAATACAATCCTTAATAAAATGCCAATTAAAAATTTGATATACTATCATTTAATATATGTTAAAATTATAAACATTATATGTATGTATTATATAATACATAGTACTGCTTAAAATATTTTTTTCAAATTTCCTGCCTGTGAATGGAGTTCAGAAGCCAAGAAAGGTTGATGAAAAACTTGACTAATATATAACAGTTGTTATACAATTTTTCACTCATTACATTTTGCCCCTAGAATTCTAGAGGCTTGAAAGACTTATAAGAAAAAGGAAGAAAAGAAAAAAAAGGTATCACCATATTTCTAACTCATTATGAATCAAAAATTTATTTATATATACACACACACACAATCAATTCATTTTTGTAACAGATATCCAGCTTATTTTATGAAAGAATACAAGGCTCTCTCTCACATAAGAATATTCATAGGACCTACATCCTTACATTACTATTGCTAGTACTTACAAGCTTGCTTCATATTAATGTTTAAATATTCTATGTGTGTATGGCTTGTATTACTGATAAAAATCAAAGATTTTTCAAGGAAGGGATAATAAAAATGCTTTCTATGACTTTTGAAAAGTCCACTGTGCCTAACACTATGAATCTAAGTATTTCACAGCAACAGAGTCTCTGTTGGTGTTCATACTAAAAAATGCACATCTCAGCATCTTCTCTGGGAAGAAGTCTTTCATTTCTAATTTTTAAAAAGAAAAAATAGTATATAATGAGATGCTTTCTCAAATAGTTACTCTTTTTTAAATAAAACTAAGATATATTTTTATATCCATTTCATAGTGATGTGGCTTACTATAAATTCACCTAACTAGTGCCACTTATTCTCTTGAAAGCACGATGCACTATAATACTGAAACAATATCCTATAGTAACAAACTCGTAAATTTTGTTAAAGGCTAAACAGAAAAAGTGGTAGTATTAATAAAACAAAAAGTAGTTTTACATGTTAGTTTCTTGAAAACAGGTAAACCAAACCATTACTGGTACCGTATTACTCCCCTTTAGTATCTGTGGTCCCTTAGGGTCCTGGGATATCAAAGACAGACCATTTTGCTCACAAATCAAAAAAAGTTTTATCAATGTTGTGACACCTGCCTACATTTTGTGAGAAAGGCTATGAATAATTTCCAAAGTAACTTAAAGTTTATATTTTTGCCAACGTTTACATAATTCACAATATCTCCCAATTCCAACATTTTCCAACCAAACCATCTCCCACTTTGAGCAAGCATACTTTCTCCCCATCACTTTTTCTATTACCATATTGACCCTCAGTGCCTTGCTCTGTTATCAGGAGAGAAAAGAAGTAATTTTCATTCTCAGTTTGGCCTTGAAGTTCTCATTATCATCTTATATACTTTATGCACTTTATAATATACGGCACCCATCTATCCATGATGAACACAAGCATTAGTGGTATCACTTACTTGGTTCTTGCACCACGGACAGGATTACATGAATACCAAAATTAGCTACACCCTATGTGCCAACTAAGTGATGGTGAAATAGTCAAAGTAAAAAAGGAGCACACAAATTATCCCTGAGTGGTCTTATTAATAAGTAATAGCAGGATGACAAAGGTCTATAAAAAAATGCCTAAAAACTAAAAGATTAACATATAAAGTCAATATTTCTATACATGTGTAATATACAGTTCAAAAATAATATTAAGAAAGCAATTCCATTTACAACAGCATCAAAAATAAAAAAATACTTAAAAATAATTTTAGCATAAGACATGTAAAACTTAATACTCAAAACTAAAACATACTTTTAAATTAAAAAGACCTAAATAAATCCAAAGATACTCCATGTTCACAGACTGGAAGACAATACTGTTAGAATGGCAATACACAACCAATTAATCTACAGACTCGACACAATCCCCATAAAAATTCCAGCTGGCTTCTTTGCAGAAACTGACAAGCTAATCCTAAAATTCACATGGAAATGCAAGTGGACCAGAACAGCTAAAACAATCTTTATTAAAAAAAAAGAGAGAGAGAGATAGTTGAAAACTCACACTTCCCAATTTCAAAACTTACTACAAAGGTACAGTAATCAAGACAATGTGGTACTGGCATAACGACAAACATACAGATTGATGGAAAAGAATTGAGAGTCTAGCAATAAAATTACGGTCAACTCATTTTCAACAGGAGTGCTAAGAAAATACAATGGGGAAAAAATAGTCTGCAATCAGTGGTACTATGATAACTGGATGTGCACTTGCGAAAAAATGAACTTGGACCCCTATCTCACACTATATACAAAAATTAACTTAAAATAGATCAAAGATCTAAATATTAGCACTAAAACTATAAAACTCTCAGAAAAAAAGAGGCATATATTTTCATAACCTTGGATTAGGCAATGGTTACTTAGCTATGACACCAAAAATACAAGCAAAAAAAAGATAAATTGCACAACATTAAAATTAAAAATTTTTGTGCTTCAAAGGAAATCCAACAAAAAAGTGAAAAGACAACTTGGAAAGGGAGAAATTTTGCAAATCATGTCTGATAAGGAACTTGAATCTAGCATAAAGAATCTAGCATAATTCTTAACAACTCAAGTATTTTAAAAAGTTTTTAATGGACAAAGAATATACAAATAGATATTTCTTCTTCAAAGATATACAAATGGCCAATAAGTACATGAAAAGATGTTCGACATCACCAGTCATCAGGGAAATGCAAATCAAAATCACAATGAGATACCACATCTGTAGTTCCCATATCTTTTTTTTCCTTTATTCTGATGCTCTGGCATCTGGGGCAACGCTCTCCATTCCTGGGGTTAACTAAATCCTAGCAAACAATTCACCTGATAGTGCACTTTACTTATGCAAATCAACCAATCTAGAGCCCATATTCCCAACTACCTAATTTTGGGGTTCTCACCCTCCAGGCTACTCTCCTCCACATACCCTAATCACCGAAGCCAGGTACCAGAAAACTAGGGACAGTTTCTTATGGCCCAAAAAGCCTACTGAAATTGTTTGAAGTAACTGAAGCTAATTCTGCTCACCCTTGCCTCCCTCATTCCTTCCCACAGAAACCACAAAAAAGGCTCTTACCCACAATTTCCCCCTAATTCCCTCTGCCTCCTGACTAACCCTGGTGCTTTCCCATGTGGCCCTTGGTAGTGGGCCATGCCTCCTGTTTCTAGCATATAATAAACTTCTTTCTTCATGGCATTCCCATGTCTGGGTGTCTTCCCATACTTGATTAAAACAATCCCCAGGTATACTTAAATTCACACCCGCTAGGATGACAATAATAAAAAAGACTGATAATAACAAGTGACAGAGAGGATGTGGAGAAACTAATAACCCTCATACAGTGCTGGTAGGAATGCAAAATAGTGCAGCCACGCTGGAAAACGTTTGGCAGTTTCTCAAATGGTTAAATATTTCTGCCCATATATTTAGGGTCTAAGATCTATCATATTGCCACCCCACTGCTATTCAATTTAAGCCTCATAACACAGAAAAAGTCACAGAAATTCAAGTGTTTGACATGCACAATGACAATGATATTAAAAGAAAAAACATAATCAGCTATTAATTCTTTATATTTAGTAGACAGACATTCTAAACCAAATATACTAGTGTTGGTTAAAATTCCAATCTAGTCAAAATGATGAAAAATAATTATTAAATTATCTCAATGTCAATTACTATGTCAATTGTATTTTATACACAATTATTTATCATCATAGTAAAAAATAAGTAACTCTATACCTTTTTCTCCTTAGACTTCTGTGCAGTGTGAGAAGTGACATTCTCATTTTGGTGAACAAACTCGTGCGCTACGACTGTTTTTACAGGGTCTCCTTCAAGAACACAGTTTAGAAATTGCACTGTGTGTTCTAATGAATAGCTGTAGAGAGTTTAAGTACAAATATAATGTCAATAAATGAAAATAAAAGTTACGTGGGAATATTAACATAAGCAATCCTTCAAACATTTTAGAAGAATATAAAAAATTTGCCTAACTTTTAAGTTTTCAACATTGAAATTAAATGCTCACTGTGTATCTCTGATTCAAGAATGACCAGAAAGAAACTGTCAAGTAACAGGCTCTCAAATACAAATTTTTAAAAATAAATACCAAAAGGTAATACATTAATAATTCATTTTCTGATCTTTTATTCCAGGTATATTATCTGTAACAAATTTTTCTTTCATCTAATCACCTATACTCCTCAAATCCCTTATTGGATTCCACACATGGTCTCAGCTTCTTTAAACATCAAACACAGACAACAGATCTTTAAACCAATGTTTTTGTCAAATTTCACTTTTTACTTATACCATGGGGTTTTAGTCAAAGATATCTAAGCTGAGATACGAAAAGGAAAATGTAAAACACTATCCTACTTCTTATCCCTACATTATTCAGGAATGTTTTCATGATGATACTATATTATTATCAATAGTATGAAATTGTACAAATTTACAAACATCTGACATGCTCACGTTCCATTATCTGAAGAAACTCATTCCAAAGCAATTTATAAATTATTTTATACTGCTCATTATTTCAGACTATTTATGCCTCTGATTTCTTCCAATGGCCAAATAATGAAGAACTGACCATAGAGAATACTTTTGAAAATGTGATTAACTAGTTATCCAAAATAATGTGATGTTTTGCTATTCTTCAATTTATTAAAGACAATCCTTGAAGAAGCACCATTTGGGACTACCAAGTCCACTTTAGCCCTCTCATCTTGCTGTCTCAGATATGCTCAACATATAGGGGTTGCCTAGGGTCTGGAACCTACCGGCAATTATCCACATCCTAACTAGCCCTTAAAATTCCCCAGCTTAACCACTCATGGGGCTGTGAGCCACACTCCAAACTGGTGCTATTCAAGGGGTACAGCCCTAGTACCCCTCAGGTATACACAGCATAACTGAACCCACCTCCCCTTCTTACCAGGATGAAACTGAACCTACTGCTTGGAAAATTATCCCGCTTTTGGCAGACAAATGGAGGCAATCAACTGAGGGGACTGACTGACCAATCACTCTGTCCCCTGACCTTGCCTAGGGAGCCCCAACTCTGGATTGTTTCACAACAGACCATCTTACCGCAGGTCCCCAAAAAAGGGAGTTGACATATCCAAACACCTCCCTCTTAGCCCCCATAGCCTTGGGAGATCTTAACATGTAACTCTAACAGCAGGTTAGGTTAAAAAAAAAAAAAAAGGCAGGGGGGAATTGTGGATAGGAACAGTATCATTAAAAACTTGATTTAAGTAACATTTATAATTCTGCATACTCAGCAGAGAATATTCTTTTTCAAAAGCACTTTCATGTAATATTTATAAAAACTAAGTGTACTGAACCACAAAGAAAATCTCAAATTTCAAAAAGTAGGACTCCTCCAGGTCATGTTCTTGTACCCCAAAATAGAACAAAACAAAATAAACAATAACCTTTCCTCTACCACCACCACCAAAGCCTTCAAACCACTTAGAAAATTAAATACTCTTGGATAAATGAGAAAATCAAACTAAATTATAAATTTAGAAAATAATGAAAATGAAAATATTGTATTTCGAAATCAGAAACATTAAAAAGAGAAAAGGTTATACCTTCGAATGTATGTGTTATTAAAGATTAAAATGAAACTAACCAAAAAGTTAAAAACATATCAAATTTTAAGAGAAAGGAACCATCAAAAATAAAAAGGGGAGGATTCTTTTTGCATACACAATTATAAAAAGCTGGCTAAAAAATTAGGCAGAATGAATGGAGAAAAAAAACTATTACAGACTGCCTCAGAACTTAAAAAGGCCTTTTCCCCTAAGCAAAAATAAAACTATGTAAAAGGATTTAGATAAACAGATCAACCTATGTTGTTGTTTAGGGATCAACCCAATTCTTTAAGACCGTAGTAGTCCCCAACTTTTTTAGCACCAGGAACTAGTGCTCCTATGATGATCTGAGGTAGAGCTGAGACAGTGATGCTAGTGCTGAGGAGCAGCTGCAAATAGAGAAAAAAGTTTCACTCGCTTGCCCACCACTCACCTCTTGCTGTGCAACCCAGTTTTGGTCCAATGTGGACCAGTACTAGTCCATGGCCTGGGAGTTAGGGACCCCTGTTTTAAGGTATTAAAAATGGCTATCCTTATTTTAAAAGGGGGAAAGTCATTTGGAACTTGACTTATCAAGGACAGATATAAATTTTAAATCCCTCCACAGTAAAATTTGTATATAACTTGTTTTATAAACTAGTGAGTTTTTCTCATGGTTTCTGTTTGTGTTTGTCTATGTGTGTCTATATATACGTTGTAAATGTGAGAAAATTTTCTACTTTTAGATGGTATTGTTAAAATTAATTTAAAGGCAAGCACTTACAAAAATTCTCAGAAATAAAGAAACTCAAATGCTTTTCAAATTCATCTGATCTAAGATTAATCCTTAGTAAATAAAAGCTAGCTTAAATTTGTTGGCTTAAGTAAAACAGGTATATCTTTATTTTGTCTAGGTTTTAAAAAATAAGTCCATGTTAATAACTGACTTCTATGTCTCTGAAATCTGCTTCTAAAGGTTATAAAATGCCTTAAATATATTTGCCAGTAAAAGAGCCTATGTTTCTAGAGGTTATAAAACGTCTCCATAAATCTGCCAAGAATGCTAATTGCTTATTTCTTAGTTTTCATTAGATATTGAGGTTTTAAGGGTTAAAATCTCAAAATATGCAGTGGTTCAGAAGGGTCCCTGGGACACCTCAAAAGATTTGAAATTACATGGGAATCACTGTAAAATAAGTGAGTAAAAACTCTGGGGTATACTGGATGGGTAAATAATGATTATAAGTGAAACAAATAGCCAGGGCTGTAGAAAGAGGGCTGTAGAAAGAGGGCCACTTGGTTCTTCCATATTCCCTGGTTCTCTGTTTTTCAGTTTTTGCTTTCCTACAATCATCACAGTGCATTAACCTCGACATAGATGAAAGAACTTTTATTTATTTTATTTTTTTATTTTTTAGGCAAAGCAACCCTTGGTTGACCTCACAGATTGCAAGGACCTTGTCATCTTACAATCCCTTAATTTTTTTATTTTTTACACCTACAGCATCTGGTCTTCCTACGTGGTCTCCCATCCAAGTACTAACCAGGCTCAACCCTGCTTAGCTTCCAAGATCAGACGGGATCAGGCTTGTTCAGGGTAGCATGGCCGTCAGCTAGATGAAGGAACTTATGAGCTTATATTATTAAAAGGAGATATCTTACACTTTTGCTGAGGTTTGACAGTCACTTCAAGAAAATGTCAAGTTGTTAACCACTTCCTTTCACAGTGAGCTCCCAGAAGACAAAGACTTTAAAGGTCATTGACTGCCACTTGGACATTTTGTTTATTGGAAAGGACATCAAATAAAAGACACTCTCCAGCCTCACTGGAAGGGAACGGATCAGGCGTCTGTGAATGGACATCTATCCCTGTCTATGGACAGCGAAGACTCCTAAAGGATGAGAAGCCACCAACAGCAAGTAGACAGCTATCCTGAGACACTGACAAGGCTTATATACCTGTGGAATGATATTCAATTCAGAATCCACTTTTGATTGTCATTACTTGAATGCTAATGATATTATCAGTTATACTTGTTCTTTGGGTCTTTCTATATAGTCCAAATGTTTATGATTACTGAACGTGTATAAGATAACTGTTAATACTCTTTTACGGCTTATGTAAATATTACACTAGATGCCAAATACAGAAAACTGATAGAGGCAAACTAAGATCATGACATCATATAAATCATCCAGAGTGTTTTTTCACAATAAAGGCTGTAAGACCTGACTGCCTTGTACTCATCTACCCTTCTCATTTTGGGAAAATTTGGTCTCAACTCAGACCCCACGGATATAGTATTGCCCCATCTCCAATAGTCAACAAAACAACATCAATACTGAGATTTACTAAGAATGAGCTTTCCTAGCTGTGAGACCAAACTATCCTACCAAAAAGTTGGTCACCAATGCATCCTTTGGAGTGATTTATGACCCAAACAGGGAACTGTGGAGAATAAAAGGGGTTCCATGGAAAGTAGCCTCCAGGGTGATGTGATCATAAATTCCTAACTAGGCAGGTCATGGTGAGCAGTCATGTACCAGGCACATAACTTTTTAGTAAAAGGTTTATCTTTGCCTTAACCAAGCTCTGTCCATTGTTTCTGTGCATCTAGGTTAACATACCTTTTAGATAATCCATAACCACCCTCAAAAAAGCACATAATCTTGCTAACTATCCTATAATCCAATGCTCACCCTGCCTTTTCACCATCTTCATGTAATTTTCCTTAAGTTCTCTCCTTAATTTCAAATACATAAAAGAAGCACAAAACTGTTATTCTCTGGAGCATTGAGATGTTGCTAATCACCAGCATATGTTGTCAATTTGACTCAAATAAACTTTATGAAAATTCAAAAAAAAAATCAAAAATGAAAATAAAAAGGAGTCATCAAAAATAACAGCAAAAATAAATGTTCAGAGAACATAAAATAGACTTTGATCAATAAACCAAGAGCTTGGTTCTTTAAAGGGGCCAATATGATAAAAAGCAAAAACAAGAAACGGAGAAAAGAATATCAGGAAAGTAAAAAGGAATATGATCAATTACGAAATAAAGTTTTTAATTATAAAAGAATATTACATACAACTTAACAATAATAAAACTTGAAAATCAAGGTAAAACTGATGTTATTCTAGAAAAAAAAAACTACCAGAAAAGACTGGAAAAAGGAAATATCTAAATAAAGCAATAACCTTAATAAGATAGTGAAAGGTTCGTGAGGCCTCCCTGAAAAGGCATAATCTCAGAACCTTAAAGGTACTAATTTATTTAAACTTTCCAGAGCACAG